GTCGATGGCATCAGTCCATTATCGTTTTTTTTGCAGCGCTTTCGCGCAGCTGTGAAGGCATACAGCTCCAATGGGAACCGCTAGAGAAGGATATTATATGCATGATAAATAATACTTTATTTTTTTAAGTTATTTCAATCATCGCGAGAATGTTGTTTTGCCAGAGGCAGCAAAAAAGCTAGAAGATATGAAGCATTCGGTCGAGGAATTACGCCAAGAGAGACAGAAGTTGGAGGAACTATTGCTCGGGGTGAGCTCTTTCGAAATTTTTCTCGCTCAATCACTCTGCTTCCAAATTAAGATACTGAATTAAATTAAAGCAGTAAACCAGTGTCAGATCAGTATCAGTTCATATTTTCCTGCAGTAATTTAATTCGTTTCAATTCACTTTCAAATTCAGTTATCTCCGATGTCCATTCTTTGCACATTTATTGGGAAAAATAGCGCTGTTGATGTCTGTCATGTAATTTTCAGGATTCCTTAGCCAATGAGTCCAAAATACTGGCAGAATGGTACGATACTCTGCATGCGTTGGGGATAAAAAAGATAAAAAAACCGATTGCACTGGATGACCACAAACCAAAGTATCATTTACGTTTCAAGAATCTGTCTTATTTCTGACCTAAAATTTTTGTTAATTTTTCAAAAACATTCCTTTAACAGAATATTGGCAATAGGCGCGCTAATCAAAATTGTTAGCATAAATGTTTTTTTTTGAATTGTTGTGGCCGAGAACAGTGTGAAGTAGGGTAATGATCCTTGGTGCTACTTTTGTTTTTAACCAGAATAAAACGGGGCATCCAAAAACTGCTTGAGTCCGGTTTGCTGCTTTTTTGTTATGGTCGATTTTTCTAGCATATAGAAAACTTAAAGCTGTCCTTTACTTGCCCCTTGAACGGTCGTCGAAGACATGACTCATTAAAGAGTTTCCCATCCTGCACACTGAGATTAAATGTCTGAGGTAAGTAATATTTTTTGGTTTTTTTTGGTTGTTTCTCTGTTAATGTTACAGATTTATTTTGTAGGAAAGAAACTACTGAAAAACTGGAACATATGATCGTTGAAGCAAGTCTTTCTCCAAACAATGCCTCTACCTCAATGAAATTGCCTGCTGTAGCAAACGATACTATGAATTTGGTCAGATTAGACGAATTAAAGTTGAATTCTTGTGACACGTGCAAAAAGGTCTGCATTATTTTGTTTTGTTGAGAAAAGTGATACGCTGCGCCTTCATATTGAATTTATTAAAAATTCTTATCATACTATTGAAAAATTGTCACTTTGCTTCAAAAGCTTGGCCAGTGCTGGCCACAGGAATGAACCAAGGAATAGTGATGGACTCTGAACAGAGTTAATCCAGAAATTCCATCTTTTGCCGGTGCAGGCACCTTAATATTTTTAACCGGATTAATGGTTTTTGCTAAAACAAAAACTACCATCGCTCAGAATACCACTTTTTTTATGTAATCCTGATACAGTACACATGCTTACCTTTTTCCCGTTTTTCACAAATAGATGTATTCTAACTTTTCCAAATCATGGATTTCTTCTCTCCTCAAAAAACACACAGTTTTCACTGAAACGGCAACTATGATTCATGATGATTCCACACGTTAAGCGAAGTACGGTTGTTTTTCGACGTACGATCCTAGCAACAAGCTGAGAATTGCTTTGTTTGTTGGAAAAATGCTTTTCCAGACAACGGAGCAGCACCTAATGGCTCTATGCGATTACTGTCACAAACACTATCACTTGGCATGCTTGACGCCGCCACTGCGTAAGGTACCGAAGAAGACGAAGAAACTGACGTGGATGTGTGCGAACTGCACGCACAGCAGCGATAGCGACAAGGCAAAGGTAAAGTTTTATCTGTAAAAAAAAAAACTAACATCGGAGACCGGCGATTCCATTTAAAGTTTTTACGATTCGTTTCCTTTAAACGCGTTTGCGTGAATGCCTGTTTATTGTTCTGTGAAAGGCAGCAAGGCCCCGTGACAATT